TTTCTACATCACATGAAGAAAATTCTTACCAAATTTGGAGTCTGTAAGAGCTATACTTTACAAACGGGAAATTTTCATTATCAACGCCCCCGCAATCCCTTTTAGGGTTGGAATCTGATAAAATTCATTCTTAACAGAACTGGACATCATACATGAAGATTCTCACCGAATTTAAGTCTGTAGAAGTCACAGTTTGGAAATGAAAATTTTAGATTTTAAAACCCACGTCCGCAATTCCTATCGGAAGTAGACTTTATTAAAATCCATTTTGAGGTGATCTCTACATGAGAAATAAAAGATTCCTACTTAATTTAGAGTTTTTAGAAGCTATATTTTGGAAATTAAGATTTTTTATTGTTAACGGCCACTCTCACGATCATTATTGTAGTTGATTCGTTGCAAATTCGATTCTTAGATCATTTCTATATCACATATAGAAGACTTCTACTAAATTTGGAGTTTACACCGAGTAAACACCCACCCCTGCAAACTCCTGTGAGGTATCTTAAAATTCGCTCGTATATTATTTCTACATCTCTTAGAGAAAATTCCTACCCAATTGGAGTCTGTAGGAGCTATAGCTTGAAAATTAAAAATTTTCATGGTTAATACCCACGCCCGCAACCCTCTCTGGGGTGAGATATCGTAATATTTGTTTATAGATTACTAGCAAACTCAGCCCGCTTCGCCGGGCCAAAGCTAAGTGTATTGAACAAAGTACATATTTCAATACATTGTAAATAATTAATTCTATTATCGCAATATGTCAACCATCATTCATCTTCGAGTTTATTTTCTTCAAGCTTTCCCTTTAGCGGGTGAAAATTGTTAACCAAACTCATAAACATATCAGTTAGTGTAACATCCACTTTATGAACTACACAAAAAAATATCGGGCCCATCTCAACATCGGCGATCATAGTACGACGCAATAAGGCTTGAGCATTGTAAATGTGGATAACCTGAAAATCGTATCAATTAAGAAAAAGAAGAGATAATCATTTTTAAATTGTTGTTATTGATTGTAAATTTGTATTTTCTATAGTTATAATTATGACTTTATATGTAAAACATCGAATTCACTTATATTCTACCTGATGTTCATAAAATTTTAGAATGAACAGCTCAGAATACTCCTTTAACATCATCAAATAATTCAAATTATTTTTCTCGACGGTAAACATAAAATAATTTGTGTTCCCGGATGTTCTTAAGTCAATTATATTTGAAATTACTCCAGCAAATCTTGTTCAGGTATAAAAAAAATTATGTTTAGTTTTGACAGACAAATATTGGCTGCGTTCAAGTTTACTAAGTTCTTAGCAGATCTGAGCATATCTTGTAGCAACAACTAAAAATAACTATATTTTTTTTTTAAATCTATAATAAAACAATGCAAGGTATATTTATTTAAGTGTGTTTAAAATTAATTTTTTTGGTAGATAAAGTCAGCCCTGCTCAGACTTAGTAAACCTGAACGCAGCCATTGATATTAAATAACAAATGATATATTTGAAGTTAGCTGATTTGCTTTTTAAATAAATTATATTTTTTTGTTTACAAATAAAGATTAGTTATTTTTCTTATTTCCTTATTTAATACAAGTTGTAAAATAACTCACTGAATTTAATGAGAAAACATTTCATTGCCTTCATTGCCGCATATAAAATTTTAAATCAGTTGATCGCTATAGAACTTAATGTATTGAAGCGCTATCTGATGGTAATATTTAATGACATGCACGGAAAGATTAAAACCTTCGACTGATTCGTGTTCTGCACCAGACAGTCGTATGCAAGAAAAAATAGAAGAAAAATTAGTTTACACCAGACTGAGTCGTGTGAGCACATGACTCAGTCGTGTTCTGAACCAGACTCAGTCGGGTGCGCACACGACTCAGTCTGGTGTAAATTAATTTTTCTTCCATTATTTCTTGCACACGACTGAGTCTGGTGCAGAACACGAACCATTCGGGTTTTAATCTTTCCGTGTACTTTCTCCATGGAAAAATACATGGTCATACCAATTTTTATGACAATCGGTTGAACGGGGCGAGAGTCGATACTTTACAGCGCCGCCTGATGGCGAGTTACATCAATGGGCATAGCATATTCGTTTTCTACGTGGAAATAAACATGGTCGTACTAATTTTTATGACAATCGGTTGAACGGGGCAGAAGTCGATACTTGAAAGCGCCGCCTGGTATCGAGTAGCATCAATGGTCATAGCATATTCGTTTTCTCCGTGGAAAAATACGTGGTCATACCAATTTTTAGGACAATCGGTTGAACAGAGCGGAAGTCGATACTTGACAGCGCCGCCTGGTGGCGAGTTACATCAATGGGCATAGCATATAAACCTTCTCCGTGAAAAAATACATAAACATGCCAATTTTCATAATGATCGGTCAAACAGTTCCTGAGTTTTTCGATGACACATATACAAACATCCTCTTTTATATATATA